ATCTATCTATCTATCTATTTATCTATCTATGTGGCCCTCATGGCATACTGGTTACATGTTAGGCAGCTTTCTTCAGTTCAGAACCACTACCCTACTCCATGGGAGAAAGACAGGACTTTCGGCTTCCATAAAGGGTTCCGTCTTGGAAACCCACAAGGACAGTTTTACCCTGTCATAAAGGGTCGGCATGAATTCTCATCAACCCGATGGCAGTGAATGAAGATACGTTTTTGGTGGCTGTTGTAAATGGAGACTCAGGAAGAGAGATATGGGAACACATTCCCTACACTCCTATTTAAGGAGTCTGGAGACAGACTCTGGTGGAGGGAGGCCTTCATGCTTGGGACTTGGAAATGCATCCCAGGCACCTTTTCCTAAGAAAGAGTTATCTCCCATACTATACCCTCATAATAATGCCGATTTAAAGGTGCTTCTTGCAAGACCTGGTTGTGACTATCCCCTTGAAGGTTACCTGCTTGAAGGTTATCTACCTGAGCGTTGTCTACCATGGACAGAGATCAGACCCTCCCCACCCAAATACAGTCCACTGTCTTCTGATAATGATCATAGATTGCTCCCCTGGAGAAGAGCTCAGAGACACTTAGAGTCAAGCCAGCTTTGAGAGGACCAAGGTTACACCCCATCTTGACTCTAGAACCCACCCATCTCGTTACGTATGTACCTTCCTCTCAGGTGTATGCCCTTAGCAAGTGTCCTTCCTGTTACATGTGCATGACATGACTTGCATGCCGGAGATTGTATGAGCCTGTGAGAGGATACGACCGCCCTCTCTCTTGATCCTGTCATCAGAAGAGTGAGCCCTTGCGTGCCTCACCTGATGTGCCTTTCATTTACCCGTCAGTTACACGACCGCCCCCTTAGGACCCATCCAGTGATGGAGGCTGGTCTCCCGCTGGTGGCACAGTGGATCAGGAGATGGACTGCAAACTACAAGTTCAAAACCACCAGCTGCTCTGTGGGAGCAAGATGAGGCTTTCTATTCCTGTACGGATTTACAGTCTTAACAACCCACAGGGCCAGTTCGGTGGTCCTGCAGGGTCACTCGGAGCCAGAACGTACTTGGTGGCAGCAGTTTTGGAGTCCTCTAGATGATGTGTCTGTGGACTCTCTTTTCCTTGAGGCAGTAAAATCATAGTAGCCCAACCCATCACCCCTATGCCCTCATGCCACCACCATCACTAAAAACAAAGCCCCCTCCAAAAATCTCTTAAAGTCTGGGGCTTGATTCCCATTGGACAAAGAGTATCCAGAGGGTCGGAAAGATCAGACACTCGTGTAAAACTGCACTGCTGAAGTTGAAGCCCCGTTTCGTGGATTCCCCACAAATCCTGACACCCATAGTGATGGGCACGCAGGTGAGCGTCCTTCCAGTCTTTTCTCTGTGCTAATGAACCCACAAGGGGCCCGTGTGGTGCAGCCCTAATTGGATGGACTTGAGAGCCGGCGTCAGGGAGGAATATTGAAAGCACCATGGACCTCCAGAGGAACCAACACCTTGGTCTCAGAAGAAGTATGTAGGGCCAAGCATGCTCCTTAGAAGTGAGGATGGTGAGAATTTTTTGTCTCACTCTCTTTGGACAGGTGGTCAAGGACCTGGGGAAGGACAGCACACTTGATGGGCTAGAGTAAGGTGACCAGACATCCCGCTTTTGGCAGGACAGTCCCGATTTTTGGCATTTTAAAAAAGTCCAGATTTTTTGAAAGAATGCATGACAAGTTAGGGAACGGTCTATTTGGTCCATATAGACCAAATTTTTAATCAAGAACGCCCTCCCCCCCACCCCGGTCAATGGTGTCCCGCTTTAAATCTGGTCACCTTAGGCTAGAGGGGCAGGACAACCCTCAAGGAAATGCACTAGCACCGTGGCTACAACAATGGGCCCAGACAGAACCTCTGTGAGGATGGGGCAGGACCAGACAGTTTTCCACATACACAGCCCAGCACCATCCCTTCCTGATTTCCTCCATCTCGGTCAGACCCAGCCCTCTGCCTTGCTGCTAAGGCTGCTCTTTCTCCATGTGATTGGACCAGCGTGCTGCTGCCTGAGCTAGTCTTTTGCTTCAGTCTTGGGCTGCACTACCTGTGGGCCGAGCCAACCCATGGATCCTGTTGCCATACCAGGCGTGCATGGCTAGAGTTTGAGGCTCCATCAGTCCCTGCTTTGCCAAGCTCCCCAGCTCCCGGCCTCTGCGACACCTCAACTTCTCATCTTCCTGCTGTGGCTGCCCACCCTGCTGTGCCTGCTGCCTGAGGGCAGAGTCTGCTGTCCGCTGCCTTGGCTTTGGACCAGCCTGTGTGAGCTGAAGGACCTTCAGTGCATGAACAGTTCCAGGAAAGCGAGTGGAACTGAGCCCTCTGTACTGCTGTGTGTCACTAGTTAGCTGTCATATTCCTTTGCGATATCTTAACCTATCCTTTTATACATATAATTGTAAGTGGCCTGGTTTTGGTTCTCTAGAGACCCCCACCTAACATCGAGTCCCAGATCCAGCTCCTGTCTGCTCAAGCCATCACCCACCGCTGAGTGGTTCTTAAAAGCAAAGCCCAAGCCCCAGACTGCCCCACAGATACCAGTTTTGACCTGGCTTGTCTGACACTGTGCCAGGAGGAGAATCTTAGGCTGGAGCAGGAGCCCCCCCGTCAGACAGACCTTGAGAAGTGAATTGGAAGAAGCTGCTAACCACGAGATCAGCAGTTCAAAACCACCAGCGGCTCCTCAGGAGGAAGAGGAGGCTTTGTGCTCCCATAGAGAGTTAGGAGGTCAGTTCTACCCTGTCCTGTGGGGTCGCTGTGAGTTGGCATTGCCTCCATGGCAGCGGGTTGGGATTTTAATTTGGGGGATTAGATGTGGCAATACTGTCATACTCTCAGAGTTGTCTAGTAACTTCCCAGGACAAAGGCTCCTTCCCAGGGGGCAAGAGAGGCCTTCCAGGGCAGCGAGGGGTGCTGGGAGGCTATACTAAACCACCTGTTCTGCCTCAGAAACCCACTGCACTGGGATCCAAACATGATAGGGGTCTGGAGCCTGGTGTGTGTGTGTGTGGGTGTGTGTGGGTGTCCCGGGGTATGTTTGCCACTGCCCTTTGGAGAGTCCTCCTCCCAGCTCTGAGGCTCTGACTGCCGGATCTCAAACCCTCTGTCCTAACTCCCAGAAATGCAAGCCACCCACACTCTCATTGCACAGCGAGGTCCACCCAGCTCTGCTGGAAGCTCATCCTGTTGGCCGCTTAGCAGCTGCAAGACCCTGAATCCCTGGCCCCCACCTGAGGCCGCCTCCGCTCTAGCATTTTCACCCCGAGGGAGCAGACAGGAGAGCAAGCACCCTGTTGTCTAAGACCCAGTTCGGCTTGGCAGGGGGTCTGCTGTGGGCCACAGAGACCAGGCTCAGGGACTGGTCCTCCAGGACTGGGAAAGACGTGCCATTCCCAAAGTGTTCCAGGACTGGCAGCAGACATGAGGGCATAGAGACCGTCCTAAGCCAGGGGTCTGGACGCCCTGATGGGATGTAGCTTCTGGCTACCCCCACCCCCATTTCATACCCGGCCTGTTTGGTCAGGAAACCTTGACTTTCAGATGCCCTGAGGGCGTGAAACAGAGGCTGGGTGGGGGAATGGCTGGCTTAGGTGGACAGGGCTCTGCTGGGGGAATGGAGACATAGGGTTAGGGGTGGGGAACAGGGAGCCTCAGAAACCACCACTCTGCGATTCAGATAGGTGGGGACCTGCTGCTATTGCTCTGTGGACATATCCCTCCCTGCTCTTTGACCCTGACTCCAGGACACCCCCTCCCCCTCCCTGCCACCAGTGTCCCCTCTCCAGGAAACTGCCCCACCCACACTCACATTGCACAGAGAGGTTCAGCCAGCTCTGATGTGAGCCCAGCGTGTTCTCCGCTTGGCAGGTGTAGCGCCCCGCATCTCTGGGTCCCACCTGAGGCAGCTCCAGCTCCAGAGGGCTGGACTGGTTGGGAGAGGACATGGAGAGCACCCTGTTGTCCAGGACCCAGCTCAGCTTGGCGGGGGGCTGGCCGTCCGCCTCACAGCGCAGGCGCAGGTACTGGCCTTTCTGGACTTCCAGGAAGTTTCCTTGGGGCGAGGGGACTGGAGGGGAGAGAGGAAGGTGGGCTTCTCACTCCCTACCCACCACAAGTCTTTTATCCCCCCCAACGGAGTGCTACATATGCCCAATTCACCACCGCCCTTCCCACCAGGTACCTGATGCAGTGGTCTGGGAAACGCTGATGACAGGCTCCTTGGGGGCATCTGCAAGGAGAGTGTGAGCCGACTTTGGAAGAAATGGTTTCCCCACAGTCACAGAGAGCACCCCGGGAAAGGAGGTGTGACTGTCCCTGGCCCTGCCTGGGGCCATGCAGCCAGCACCAGCTGTGCCCAGAAGAGTGGCCCAGCCACCTCCCAGGGTGAAGGCAGCTTCCCAGGACACACCACTCTGCCCAGGTTCCCTCCAGGACCCCAGCCTGCTGGCTGCTCGTCCCTGTACAGATGGCCTGTCCCCACACCCCAGAGTCCTGCCCCTAACTCACGGTCCACCCTCAGCTGGATGGTCCTTTCTGCGCTCACTCCCTTGTTGGAGAATCCCACTCGACAGGTGAGCTCAGTGTTGTGGTCCTGGGGTCTCGGGGTCAGGGTGAGCTCAGAGAAGAAGAGAGAGGTTTGTGGTCTGGGTCCTTGAGAGGAGAGGGCTGACCCTGTCCAGGAGAACATGGGGGTCGGACAGCCTGCAAAGTCCCCAGGAAACAGACAGAGTAGCTTTGCCGGGCGTCCAGGCTCCAGGGTCTCAGGGACATAGACATCGGGCTTCTGGGTCAGGCCTGGGTCAGAGAGAGGGGTGTCCTAGCCCCAGGCCCATGGTCGGGTCCTCACAGTCTGTCCCCAGCCCACCCAGCTCGGCCGGCTCCATACCTGTCACTTTCAGAGACACTGGGTAGTACACATAACTATATTTCAGAGTGCCTCTCTCCACTCGAAAGAAGTATTTGGCTGTGTCCTCCCTCCGCGCGTCTCTGATCATCAGCGAGCAGTTCAGGGTCTGGGGGTCCCCGAGGAGCTGGAATCGGTCACGGGCCTCCCTGGAGACCTCTCGAACTGGGTGGTTCGTGGCCACTGGAGACCCGTGGGTCCTGTCGGTCCCTTCCCGGAGCCAGTAGCCATAAGCTGGGCCAGAGTGCATCCAGCCTTCCCGGGGGTAGTTAAAGGTGCAGGGGATGGAGAGGCACAGGCCCTCCTGCACCGTGGCCGAACGCTGTACCTGCAGCGTGTATGTGTATCTCCAATCCTGGGCCAGGGACCCTGAGGGGAGACAGAGGCTTGTCCTGTGACACCCCGCCCTCCACCCTCACCTCCACTCCCCACAACCACTCTGGTTCTCAGCCCACTCACCCCCCAGCAGCATGGGCGGCAGCAGCAGCAGCAGCAGCATCTTGGAACCAGCTCATGGCCCTGACGCTGCTGCTGACTCTGGGCTGGGGCCGAAGAGGAAGCTGCAGGCGGAAGCTGTGCCTGGGGACTGAGGCATGAAATGAACTTCTGCTCCGGACACTCTGGGACCCACACTCAGTAGCCTCTCCGTGTCCCGCTCCACCCCACAGAGGGGACAAGGGGGCCATGACTTTGGACTTGCTGAGCTGGACCTTCCTGTGTCCCCTCTGCAGGGGTGGGGGAAATCTGAGGGGGTGGGGGATCCCTCTGGGATCCAAGTGGAACAGGGCTGGGGTGGAAGTTGCGGTCCCCCCACTGGACCCTGGACCATTCAGGAAGCAAAAGTGAAAGCCCACAGTGAGCTCTCTTCTCCCAGGCTCTGCCAGAGCCCTGGTGGTCTAGTGCTTACAACTTGGGCTGCTTAACCTCAAGGTCAGCAGTTCAAAACCTCCAGCCGCTCTGAAGGAGAAACATGAGGCGTTTGACTCCCGCAAAGAGTTGCAGTCTCGGAAACCCACCGGGGGGAGTTCTACCCCATCCTAGAGGTCCATTGGAGTAGGCATGCACTCGATGGGCCTCAGTTCAATGTGCCGGCGGGAATGGCTTCTTTGTGGTGAGATGGGTGATATTAGCTGGTCTTGGCGATTTCTCAGGCCTTATAGGCCTGATGGTTCCCACCCTTGTATAGAGCTTGGATTTGGGTTTGGGAGGTGGAACAGGAGCCACCAGGGCTCTGAGGAGGAGGATTCCTGGAGGGATGATATTTCCTGATAATAAGCAAGACATCCAATTAGGAGTGGACTCCCAGATAAACAAGGATGCTACTTTTATTTATTTATTAAAATTTATTTTATTGGGGCTCATACAACTCTTATCACAATCCATACACACATCAATGTGTAAAGCACATTTGTACATTCATTGCCTTCGATGCTACTTTTAATACAAGAATATCCCAAATACTATGTAACAACCAAGTATAGTATAAATAACAACAACTCCAACAACCAAAGAATAGGCCAAAGAGTTCCTGGAGTCTACTCAGGCCCAAAATATTCTTTCTTGAAAGAGAAATGAAGGTTGGCTCTAGGCTCTGAGCTGGAGAACCCAAGTCCAAACTGAACTCACTGCCGTCGCGTGGATGCCCACTCATAGCGACCCTACAGGACGGCGTAGAGCTGTCCCTGCGGGTCACTGAGACGATCACTTTATTTGTTTTTTTAAGCGTTCATCTTTAATGAAATGACTTTGGAAATAACAGACACCAGCACCGCCGTTTTGGGGGTCACAAGAAGGTCCAGCCCTGTCCATTCCATCATGGGCACCATTGCCAGCATCTCTAGCCTTTCATTTCCGTTACAAGACAAACACATCCAAAAAGCCGCCGTCTCACAAAAGGGCCCCAGAGCTTCAGACAAGGCCAGTCCCAGGATGGCGTGTGGGAATAGCCACTGCTTCAGCAAAGGGTTTCTGGTGTAGCCCCTGAGGAGGCTGCCAAAGCCGGCTCCAGTCCCGGCTCCAGCCCCAGCCCCAGCCACTCCCACGCTGGCAGCCCGTCAGAGCAAACCAGCCTCTAACAACCAAGGGGTCTGTGGGCTGTCATATATAAAGGTCATAGTAAAGTCACAGAAGATAGGAGAGAGAATACAATAAAGGAGTCAGACACATTTCCTGGCCGCTCTCTCACCTCCTGGATGGCCATGACCTCAGCAGCCAGGTCCACACCCAGAGAGAGAATATATTTCTAATCAAGGCTTGTATACATTTAAGGGCTCTGCTAACCCCACTGATTACAGGTAACCACATATATCACTGGAAGGGGATGTCCAATAGGCATACGCATGACAGGAAGGGGATGGGCTAGGGGTGTATACACAATAGGAAGGGGAAGGAGTAGGGAGTCCCATGGGACAAGATGGGAGGGAATCCTAGATTCAAGATGGCAGCCCAACCTTGATCCTCCTTGAGTTAGCTTGGCCTTGTCTCTGGGCTCTCCTTCAAGGGAACAACCTTATCTGCACGGAGTGGGTGGCAGAGCCAATAGGGTCTGATTGCGCTAAATGCCTGATCCCCTTCGGGAGATAAACTCTAAGCAGCTCACCTCCCAGGTGCTAGCAAGCAGGTTGGGCATATATTTGGGGGGACAACCTGGGCACTTCCCAGCCCTCTCCAGCCCTAGGCTCTGGATAACACTTAGGCAGTAACTCCCCCACTGCCCTCTCCTAGAGGGGCCCTGGTAGCACAGTGGGTAACACATAGGACTGCTAACGGCAAGGTTGGCAGTTGGAAACTACCAGCCACAACATTGGAGGAAAATAGCACACTGATGTGGAATTTGGTCTGCATGCAATTCTGGATCTAGCTCAGATCAGAGTGGGATGGGGCCCTGCACATGAGAGCTTACCACCAGTGAATATGTTAGAGCAGCGGTTCTCAACCTGTGGGTCCAGACCACCTTTGGGGGGTCCAACGACCCTTTCACAGGGGTTGCCTGAGACCATCGGAAAACACATTCATAATTCACCATATATAATTACACATTGTTTTGTGATCAATCACTATGCTTTCATGATGTTTAATTATGTTCCATTTGTAACAACGAAAATCCATCCTGCCTATCAGATATTTACATGACGGTTCATAACAGTAGGAAAATGACAGTGATGAAGTAGCAACAGAAACAATTTTGTGGTTGTGGGGGTCACTACCACAGGAGGAGCTGTATGAAAGGGTCGCAGATTTAGGAAGGTTGAGAACCATTGTCTTAGAGGCTTTGGGGAGGCGCCGGTCACCGGTGGGTGACAGAGGTAGAAAAAGTGGGACTTGAGACCATAATTCTTCATGGGAATTAGAAGGCCCGTCTTTCTCTGGTTGATCAGTGGGTGGTTTTGAACTGCTCACCTTTGGCATCACAGTCCAACATGGATCCCAAGACACCAGCAGGGCTCCTGAACAGAAGAGCCTCAAAGAGATCCTGCTGCGTCTATTAGGGATTGAGAGGCAGAAACCAGGAGTCGGCCCTCTACAAGCCAAGACCTCCTGCCCCCCTTACAGGAAGTTGGAAGCCCATCCAGATTAGGGGATATGCACGCATTCGGCCTTTGAGACAGGAAGCCAGTGCACGTGGGAGGCCCCAATGTAGGCCAGGTGGCCTAATTCAGCCAACGGGGTCAACCAGAACCATCAACCACGCCTCCCAGCGGAGGGCCCTCAAAAGCCAGAATCCCAAGCCCACAGAGCTCTTTCCAGCTGCTCCCGGCCAGGCTGCGGGGGCTCTGGGCTCAGGTTTCCAGGTGCGGGTTTGAAGTGTCCTGGGGGTGCCTGTGTCAAACCTGAAACTCCTTCTCTCCTTTATGAAAACCCACTTGGATCACCAACCAGCTTCCGCGTGAATTCTTTCTCATATGAAGCCAAGGACCGAGGTATTTTCTAACCTGAGAAACCTAACAAGTCTAATAAGTCAGACACAAAAGGTCAAATGCTGTCTGATCTTACTGACGAAAAATATGTAAAACAGGCGCGTGCACAAAGTCAGGAGCTTCTCATTAGTTACAAAGAGGCTCGGAGGAGGGAGCCCTTACTTAGTGCCACCGAGTCCAATCTGACTCCTCTCGACCCTACAGGACAGGGTGGAACTGCCCCCGTGGGTTTCTGAGATGGTAAGTCTAGACAGGAGTACAGTCTCATCTTTCTCTCTTGGTGCGGCTGGTGGTTTCAAACTGCTGACCTTGCGTTGGCAGTCCAGCTATTACATTGAGTGCTGCTGTGAACATCCATTGATACGAGTTGGTGGATGTGTGCTTGCGTTTCAGTTGGGTCTGTGCTGAGGAGTGGATCTGCTGACTCTCATGCTCATCTTAGTAGGGAGTGAAGCACACATTTCCCCAAGTGGTGTACCAATTCCCACCCCCACTAGATGTATACGAGCGTTCCAGTGGCTTCCATCCACACCAACCCTCGATGTTCTTAAGGTTTCTTTAAAAAATTTTAGCCAAGCTGGTGGCAATGTAATTGTAGAGTGCTGCTGGTTTTAATATAAATGTCCTTAGCAACTACCGGAGCTGTGCATCTTTCCGTATGCTTACGGCCCATTTGACTATCCTGTTTTCCACTGGGCATTCTGCCTTCTCCTTATTGATTTCTAGAAGATATTTATAGACTCTTTAGATACCCTAGATAAGAGTCTTGTTTGATCAATCAGCATTCTACAACTATCTTCTTCAACCAGAGAGTTACATTAAGAAGCATATTTACTTTTAAACCTAGAGCATGTTTCAGCCTCTCCCCACCACCCCAAATGATCATAGCAGATGGAACTGTCCAAGGGTGTAAGGGGCTGTAAGTTTCTAGCCCCCTGCTGAGATCAACACGGTTAACAATGCCTATCTCACTTGGTGAAGTAACGCGTTCCGAATGCTGTCACTACGAATCCACTCTAAGGAAAGGAGATTACCGTGCATTTTAATAGAATAGTATAAAAAAAAGTACTGATGAAACGACCGTTGGTCAAGTTTGGGTGTTGGCTCAAAGACATATACTTAGTCATCTTGGCGTGAAATCACAATTGTTTTCTCTTTAACCCACAAATATCCCCTGAAGTTTTCTTCAGGTCAGCCTGTCTGCCAGAGCATTGCGCTATTTTAACCGCAGACTATCTGGGATCAGATGGACAGCACATTATTCGAAAGGTTAGCTAGAGACTGTGGCAGTTACAGATAGATAAAAGTGTAGAGGTGGAGTCTGGCCTGTCAATCAGGTCACAGCTTAGTGGCACCTCCTTGTGGGCGTGGCCTCCTCATCAGGAGCCTGGGAACCTCCTCCTCTCTCTCTGCCTTCACCTTCCTGCTGGTGAAGAACCTGGGGCTTGGGAGAGCTCTGTGATGCTTCCACCGCCATTGGACCTACACTCCGCACCCTACAGCCTGTGGTCTCCCTACACCATTGCACGTGGCTGCGTGAAATGAGGAGGGACTTTATGGAGTAGTATTGGACTTACGGACTTGCTCTGGACTGGGCTGGGATGTTTGC